TATTTATTTGTTGTTTTTTTTTCCCAATCCCAGGAAAAAAACCCCTTGTATTTCGCTCTCCCTCACTTATCCATTTCGCTTTTGATCTTATTTGAGGCCCTTTTGTTATTACATCATACACTGCGTGTAAATCTTTCTCCTGTTCTCGCTTTAAATTAATTTTTAACATATGAACTAAGCAAATATTCGATATTATCAATTTTTCTTCAATCAATTTTAGTTTACATTTTAAATCACTTTATATAGGGAACATTGACGATGGGAAAGTTGAAATCATCCAGTTTGTCGTATAGTTTAGTTGTTGGTTGGCTATTAATGTCTAAAGTCAGTAAAAAAAAATGCTTCACATGTAGCAGACTCTGTAGATTCTTTAATTTCGAGTTGACTGGCATACATATGGACTTCATTTCTATGATGAATTCTGTCGTAGATTATGCCAGACGTTGGGCTAAATAAGCAGATTACTTGAACACTTTGTCAGAATGGATTAAGTGTTTTAGAATTTTATTAAGGAATCCTATTAGAGAGTTAAAAGGAATTTTTTTGGTTGTTTTTTTTTTGTTTGCTTTACGTCCCTTCAAGAACATTTGTACAGATAAGGATCGATGTCGATCTGAAGTTTGTCCTTCACACAGTTAAAATTGTTTATGAGGCATTTAAGCAAAAGTGTGTGTGTGTGTGTGGGGGGGGGGGGGGGGGAGGCAGTCCTGTGTGCTGATATTACTTCAAATGGTATTTCAAATCTTTGTAACTTATATCAAAGTTCCGTGTTTTTTTTTTCAAATAGACTAGACAAAATTGCTAAAGCACCACTTGTTATTCTTATTTGTGATTTGAACATTTGCCTAATCGGTACTATTAAATATATTATGCCATCTTTTCCAATACAGTGGGGTTCACAAATGTCTTGGTGACATGACAAGACCCTTAAATAGCCTTCTTGTCCGAAAAGAAATTTCCCGGCGTGCACTGCGTCCCGTTTTTTTCCAGATATTAAGTTGATGATTGCCGATGATGGTCCATGAGGTTACAATAGAAACAATCTCTCAGTTTAAAATCAAATAATATACAGTTATTAACTATCATATCGCCTAGTACCTTGGTGACCATACCCAATCCACCCAACTTCCAGCTGATCCAATTTTATGGGATAATCTTGAAATTTTGAAATTGTCGTGTGGTGCTTATTTAATGCCATGGCTATCTATAGTGAACATTTTTATATTTGTTAATCTATTTGCAACAATTTCTAAGTAGAGGAATGAATCAGTCGTTTAATTGTTTTAATTTTTACAAATATCACCAAAGGAACCCCCCCCCCCCCCTGCAGACGCCATACTGACTGCTTTAGCTTGTTCTTCTAGGGTCAAACGCCGCATACGGTTTTATATTTATCATAAGTTTTTAATTGATACAAGCATAAAGAATAGAAACACAAAGACAAAAAATAGAAATTTATTCCTCCAAAATAGCATGGATACGATTATGATTATTTCTATGAAATGGTTATGCTTCAGTGTACGTTGTAGTTATTTATCAGTTAAGACATTTAAATGCCTCTCATTTTTTACTTAAGTGACATAATCATACATCAAATACATCATAAACAAGTTTTGAAAAGTAAAAAATATCAATTTTCTCTGGAATTTGATAATTCAGGCCGAATAAATTAAAGAGGATTGTTTCGCACTCGTGAAAATATCAAAAAATCATGCCCCACTCGTGAAATAAACTCCATATCCATCCACAAAACTTTGAATATCCTCTATTTAAGATCACAGTCTTCCAATTCATTAACATATATATATATCAATAATAGGCTTTTGGTGATACGAGTAGTCTTTTTTTAACTATTCAATTGTAAAACAATAACATAAATATAAACATAACTGTTCAGATTCCATCTTTTGATATAATGTGTAAAATGATAATATCAACGAAATATGTGAAAACAGTTCCTGAAAAAATTTAAAAACTAAAGTCAAAATTGAACAAAATTCGTGCATTTTCTCCCATTTTAAGAAATAAAGGGAAATATCAGTAGTTTGTGACGTCACATAAACATAAATTCATCAATAATGCATATTGTTAATTCAGATTTGCCTTATTATGCACATTTCAAGAAATTTTCAAATTTGACTAATCTTGGGGCAGGGATATGTCATTACCGTGATGACTTTAACTTTTCAATCGTCAGCTTCCCTTACTTATGCAGCAATATACCTTCATCACCTGCATACGGGGTTTTATATCTCTCAGTTGATTCGATACGCAAGAGCATGCTCTACGTATGTACAATTTCTAAAACGAGGTAAATTATTGACAAACAAGTTGATGAAACAAGTATATCAGTAGTCTCGTTTAACGTCATCATTTCGTAAGTTCTATGGTCGATACAATGACCTTGTCAGCAAATACAATTTATCATTGAGTCAAATGCTGACTGACGTTTTTCATACTAATTGTTAGACCATTATTTACACACTGAATTGTCGACGGTTTTTTCCGTTATTTCCCGATCATGACAAGGAGCACACAGTGGGTGTGACCGGTCGGCAGGGGATGCTCACTCCTCCATGGCACATGATCCCACCTCTGATGTTTTGGAAGTCCGTGTTTGCTCTGCTCCTATTTTGTATTGTTTAATGGACTTCTGAGCTTGAATACTGTTCGTTATCTCCATATATTTCATAGTTCTTTAAAAATAACATCGTCAGCAAAGAAATGTGATAACTTTCTTGGATCCATGTTGGCATTTTAGAATCCATCCAAATGAAACACCGCTCCAAAGCCCTTATACGAGGTATTGGCTCTGTCCTCAGTTGGACACGTATGTTTGTAGCACAAAGGATCATTACAAATATATGAACGTGAATCCAATATTAAAAAAAAACATCCAAAAACTAAAAAAGACAAAACGCGAAGATTGTAAAAATATAACAACAGAAGTCAAGATTATGGACGCGAGGAAAGACTGGGGTTTCCTTTTTTCTAATGTCGACGAGATGAAACAATTCAGGTAGATTTAAAGTAATTCTTAGGTAGAGGGTATCATTAAAAAAATCCATGTTTCTCACTGATCAACTGTGTGATGAAAAAAAAATATATTTCAAATTGCATTTGACAGAGTTATAGAAAATAAATTTGGCCAAAGTTCTACGTGTTCAACGTTAATCTGAAAAATCCAGTATGTTCTTATGATTTGTTTTGCTCGGCAATCTACTACATATCTGTTACATATTCTGGTAGTGGGTTTACTCTGTCACGCTAACCGTTAGTAACCTGGTGGGAATATACATTTCAGCAGCGCAAGTAAATCCTCGGTTCCTACGTAATTGTGTTGGATAATGTAGTTAGAATAAATACGCCTCGAATTCTCAGTCTTCGTAAGCCTCTTCTGTTGAACGGTCTGACAGTCAATTCTGAGGTGAATATTCTAGGAACCTTAGAAGGTAGTATAATTTCTTAAGTTCTAGACTTTTCTTTAATTAACAACATGCCAACTTAATTAGATAATGAAGACTACAATTTATGAGCATATTAAATATTCAACTATTTAAACTAAATAGTTAAGCTAACTGAATAGAATCATTTTCCTAGTAGTCGAATGTATATAGGATCTCCCATGATTTGAAGTTGGATATTATTTTTATCCAACGAGTTGTGTGTTTTTTATCCCCGAGCCTTGGCGAGGGGATAAAAACACACAACGAGTTGGATAAAAGTCATATCCAACTACAAATCATGGAAGATTCTTTTTATCCCATGTTTAATACTTCACATCCAATGTTTTACACTGTTTTATATAGGACTCCACTTTATTTTACTCTATTTTACTTTATTATCACTCTAACGCAAACACCATTGTGACGTCACAACTGCACTTAACTGTGGAATATGAAAAAATTATCCAATGAGTCATATCCACGGGATAAAGGGGTAAACATGGGATAAAATTAATTATAAGATAGAAAATGTATTTGGCTAAGTTCAAAGTGTTTTTTCCCCATCTATTTTTTACTTTAATTATCTTTTTACATTATCATTTTAAGCACGTGGCAATTATGCTGTCCTCTAAGGTTTTGTTGTGTCTTGGGTTCCTCGCTGTTGGTAAGTTTTTGAACTTTTAATTCATTCAATTCGAAATAGAAATGGAACTGTTTTAAATAATCTTCTCAGTTGTAAGAAGATGTATGAAGATAGTGATGATCATGCTGGCTTGAGGAGTTAATTCAACGTCGATTTACCTATGTGCTTATTTGTAAATCTCTGTACAAATATGGCCTGTTTCTTGACGGGATATGTAAATATGCGTATTTATTAAAGGAATTTTGACGAAAAGAGGAAACATAAGAATCGATCTGGGTAAAAGCTGCATCATAAATATGTTTCAAATTAATTTGAAATTCAGACCTGATCATATAACTGTATGGAAGACGGAAATATCCGAGATATATGTACCAAATCACGGCGCTTAGACGGACTGGGTGAACGCGCCAGATTTACTCTGATAGTACAAACCACTCTAATGTCGACAGTGTATTTATCCACATATATTCAACCGTACATTCGAAAAGTATTCTTGACATTTTTTTCCAAATAGAATATACAAATATTTGAAACTCAGTTTATTCTATTGTGATCAGCATAACAATTTTTACATTCTTTTAAAAGTTTTAAACCAAATACTTATACTTTTGTATACTAAGTTTTTTTATTTGTTACAAAATGAAGAAAATTCTCAAATGATGATACATTTTTTAATTATTCTGATAATGGTTTTTTTTTGTTTGTTTGTTTTTTGTGCGCGTTTGATTTATTCGGATAGAAAGATATATTTTTGATTTTAGGGTGGACTTTAAAGAAAAGAAAAACTTCGACGGGCTTAAATAAAAATCTTGAAATTCTCAAGAATTTTACCTTATTTTTTAAGATTGTTTAGGAATTTAAAAAACATTATATTTAATTAACGTAGATATATAAAAATCTTCTAATTCCAGGATTCCGGCTTGCCCTAGCAGCATATGGTGGACAGACTTGCACCATACCCACGTCAGGTAACCCAGGGGCCACGACAGTTTGTACGGGAACTGCAAACGGATTCTGTCTGATTGATACATTCACCACCGCGGGTACCCCCTCTCTCACTTCCGCCACTACTACTGGAAAATGTATCTGTTACTATGGATACAGTGGTGCAGCTTGTGGAAGTAAGATTTTAGATTATTGGAACATTTCAAACTGTCTTCAGCAATATCAAATATCCGTTTGTCAATACTGCGGACAGAAAGGGAACTACGCATTTTCTATATGTTAATTTCAGACTATACGTACTTTTTTAATTTCACTAAGAGGGCATGAAATTCAGGACAGCTTTTAACCAGACGAATTCTGAATGATCTATGACACTTTTTTAGAGTAAAATAATTGTCAATTATCCGTTTCATGAGATCTTTGTGTTTTTAGCTGTTGACCCTACAGCTACAACATCTTCAACCACTTCAAGCGGTACTGGTAACGCCATTGCAGCACTGGGACTAGGACTCGCCGCAGCCTGGGCACTAAACCAGGGCCTTGGAGGAGGTGCATCACAGAATGCACTTGGTATCGGAACTGGATCTAGTCAAAGTGCACAGGAGGCCTTATATATTCAGCAGGCCCTTGGAGGTGGACCCGGACTCGGTATTGGTAAATAAAAGGCAGAGTAGGATTTGTGAATGTCACATGGAGCTTGAAAGGAATAAACTGGATATTGGCATTTCCTAGCAAGTTCAATTGTTGCATTTGTGCAAAAATACTCGAACGGTTTATTTTATCTTGTTTGTTTATCATTGAATAAATAGAAATCTGAAAATCAATTTGGTAAGAATATTTTCTTTGGGAAAAAAAAAACAATTGGTGAGAAAAAATTTGTTCGCAGATTACAAACACAACAATTAATATATGGTTGTTTTGAGATTTTTTCATACAAAGTCACACGCCCATTAGCCTTAATATTTTCGGGTATTGCTTTCGATGTCGGACAAAGGACGCTTTGGGGAATTCTTCTCAACTATAGATCTTTTGACCTCGCTCCATACTATGTTGTACAATCAATACAAGGAATATTTCTTTTAGTTGAGGAGAAAAGACTTTCATTATTCTTTTCTCTCTGATACATTGTCTGTTTAAAGTTTATTGACACACTGTATTTTTAAAAGGAAAACAAATGTACGAATTGACGGTGAATTCTTTGCTAAAATTGAAGATATTTTCCAAGGTCAAAATTTTGTAGGTGTTCTAGAATCTCTGTATTTATTGATAAAAATGTAAGTCGTACGTTTGTAGTTTATAATTATATATATATATATATATATATATATATATATATATATATATATATATATATATATATATATATATATATATTTTTTTTTTTTTTTTTTTTTTTTTTTTTTTTTTTTTTGTCCCTTCAATTTGGAACAGCGTTGAGTTGGTGAGTAACAGAGCTTATTTTTGTTTTTTTCTTAGATAAGAAGTTTAGCGAATTGTTATGTTTAGATTTTGTCGTAGCTCTGGAAATTGGATTTATGTTTTGTCCTCCGTTCTGATCGTTGGCTTTGCTGATGAGACAAATCTTTAAATGATACAAAATTAGCGGTAAATTATGTTTGACATGCTAAAGTGACAAAATTCACTTTCAGGTTTTGAAATAGTACTTCTTAAGAATATTTTTCGCTGCTGTTTCAGTTCAAATACTAGCACTTTTAGCATGAAATTTGAAGATAACGAAAAGTAAACTAAAACCCAATAAACAGTACAAAATATTTACATTTGCTGCGTTTTTCTACTTAGTCAACTATGAAATTGGCTTGAATGCATTTTCGTGTATACTCACGCGTAGAGACATTTAAGGAATGACTGTATAACCTGGGTTGGGGCAGTTTACGCTTAATAAACCGCAAAGCAGTTTATAAAATAACTTAAACTGTTCCAACCCAGTTATACCTGTATAACCTGGGTAGCTATTAAAGTCATTCTTTATAATTAAATTTCCACCATTTAGTGTAGAAAATAAGACAATTTCTCTCTCAAAAATGCCTTCAAATTGTGCATATTTAAAATGTAACGTCGAGCGGATTGATACGTTTTTGACTTAAATCATTGTAGCGTAGGCAACACAGTTTATACGACATAAACTATTTTTTTTATCCAATCAAATGACGCGTTACAACCAAAATTAAATTATATAAGGAGAAACTCGATTCTAAATGACGTCACAATGAGGCTAAAGAGACGTTAATAAAAATATAATGATATAGGGCAGCGAGAAATTCAAACAATGAGTATATTTTTGTTGCCTTTAAACATCTAAAATGTAAATATAAGAGATGGTTTTCAGTTTAGTATGAATTATTGGTGTGTAAATCATACAGACATGTCACGTAGGCATATTTCATGAAGCGCGCTCCCTTAATTGAGAGCAGATCAATTACGAACCCCTGGAAACATCAGAGGTGGGGTCAAGTGCTATGTGGACGGGTACAGGTAAGCATTCACTGTGTACCGGTGTCACACCTGCCTTGCATTTGAAACTTTGTCTTGATTTGGAAAATGGAGTAATTAGTAGTCAAAATAAGTATGAAAACAATGGCCGAACAATTGGTATTGAACATGCCTGTCAAAATTCGATCTAACAACAAGCTGGATTTGTAAACTTGGTCATTTTAAAATATTAAATTGTGAAATGCTGACGTTATACAAAATTGTTAATTCCATTATATGAGAGTACACTAAGTGCCTCGCATATAACCGACTTATAGACATATATATATATATATATATTTACATTTGCAAATGTTTTCTTTTATATAACACTATAAAAAGCAACGCGTATCTATATCCGTATAAACACAGGTTCCTCGCGTCATAAACGTTCGACGTAATTTCTCAGTGACGTCATAAAGGGTCGATGCGCAATCAGTGGATCAAACACGTGCCGTTGGGTTTGAAAAATAAAACGTTTCACGCGTTAAAGATTATAATCAGGCAAATATAAAATATGAATGAGTCACAAAAGTAAATATAAGTAATAAGGTATCATTTTAAAACATCTATCGGGCTATAAATACGGGTTGGTACGTTACCATAAAGCCCTTCGGGCTTTATGGAATTTGATCTCGTGACCAACCCGTATTTATAGCCCGATAGATGTTTAAAAATGATACCTTATTTCTTATATATATATATATATATATATATATATATATATATATATATATATATATATATTATCCAAAAAAAAAAGTCTCAGTGGTCGGAATAAAATACTTAAAATAAAGAGGAAAAACACGAAAAACCTCTCAGTAAAGCTTTAGGCCTTTCATTCTATCTTCAGAAGCTTTACAAAATAAACAACAGTAGTTACATAGTAACGTTACACAATGATACGCGGAGTATATGACGTCGTAATTGTGAAGTCAAATGTACTATGACGTCATAGTCAATTACTCTTTGCGTTCAGGTAAAAAGTTCGGGAAAACTTCAATAAAAATACAGATATACATATGTAACCCGGGGTCTTAGGGTTGGTTCAGGTTTAGTAGGAATGACTACGTAAAGCTTTCCATCCTTTATTTGCAATAACCAATAGACAAATGTTCAGCTCAGAATATATTTAACCCTGTAACATAGTAAAAGCTCAATAAACAACATTGCAAGAAAGATAACTCTTACGTTCATGTTTCCGAATAAAATAAAAATACTAGTTACTTCCCTTTTATACACAAGACTCAAAAATATTTGCGTCTATTAAAATATCTATGACTGTTCATTATTTTAACAAACAAGGTATTATAAATATACTGATAATATACTCATTCCAGTTTCACTACATACTATCATGTAAAACCTTATTTCACATGAATTCATTAAGAAAATATTTACATGTATGTTTCATCAGTATTATGATCATAGATGTATCATGATATATACTTCAAACATAATACTGGTACTCTAGAAATTATGCTTACCTCACATGAGGTGTAAAGGTCGTTTAACAATAAGTTTAGGCTACGTACATCATCTGATCTTGAGCATTCTATGTAAAGGTAAAAATAAATACACTGACTTCAGCTATTCAGTTCACTGTGCTATATCTATAATTACATTACAAATCCTATCTTTCCTTTCAAAGTAAATGTTACACTTATATTTATGCTTTCAATATAATCAGCTATTTCAATAAACATGATAAAACAGGTTTCTAAATATTACTATTATCTCAGAAACAGATATTTATGTATTTAATATAAAGACTATATAGGTATATATAAATCAACTGACCTGATTATGAGAATAAGTTCCAAAGTATAAAAATAAATCAATAAACTGACTGATACTTTCAACAATGACTGCAGCACAGGAACTACTTAACACAATAGACAAATTCCCTCCAAAATTATCACATGATCAAATTCTTTACAATTGACCATAACTGACCAATCAAATACAAGGAAAAGGTATTCCCTCTAAATATAGTTACAGTATGTAAAAGTTAAAAATATTCAAATGAGTGACTTACTAAATTCAAAAGTAACTTACAGTACTATAAATATATTCATATTCAACAAACTCATGTGTTGCAAATTATTCTATAAATAATAATAAATTAATTCATCATTATAAATTGATAAAATTAATTACAAATTTCACTCTGTCACATACTCCCCCTGGTTTGAAAAAATGACGTCCCGACATTTTATTTCACTTCAAAGTCTGAGATGGATGTGACGTCAATATGTCCAGTATTGCCTTCCCCGCTTCAGAACGCAAGTTTTCTAATAAGGGTGAATTAGCTGCTAAAGATGTAAGGCAGTTGATTCTGTCCTTCCAATCTTGTGTCAATGATATCGCAGACTTTGACATCTCGAACTCGTTCGATCTATATCGCATAGGTAGTCTTCGCTCCCTAGTGGATCGACGTAATGGAATCCTCGTCTCTTGATCATTCACATCTGTACGGGTTGTATCTTGGCCATCAAGTGTTTCTTCTCGATTTGTCTCACGTTGCGTAGCGCTACTGTCCCGTATAGAGATATCTTCCTCAGCACTTACTGTGTCTGTAGAAGGATGGGCGTCCCCTTGTACCTCTGTAGGGCCTTGTTGGATATCAGTCTGAACATTAGGTTCACCAATAATATTTGAATTATTGTCTCTCTGTTCTTCCTGACTGAATATATTGTACCTCCATTCCGACTCATCTTCTGAAGAACTTTCATCTAAATCATCAGAATGGGAAAATTTTGGTTCCATTTTCTGTAGCTTTGATCTTCTCTTTGCAGGTACAGGCTTTTGGGCTTTCGAGTTTACAGGTGTAGGTGTGTCATTGAGAACTCCTATGGGTAATAGAAGGTTACGGTGCAGTGTTCTGTTACGTCCTTCTCCGTTTTCTTTCTTTACTACAAAAACAGGTATATTCTCATTGGGTTGTCCGATAACAGTGTAGGGATCTTGTTCCCACCTATCTGCCAATTTATGTTTTCCCTCAAAAGCGACTATTTTCACAAGTACTCTGTCTCCTACTTTCACAGTACCACCTCTAAGTTTAGTATTATAACTTTCTTTCTGCTTGGTTCTGGCTTTGTTTGCTGCTTCTGTTGCTAACTTGTGAGCTTGGATTATCCTTTCTCGTAAATCTTTGATGAATTGTATAGTTGGCTCCTTTTCATTCACACGTAAACCAAATGCTACATCGACTGGTAATCTAGGATTATTTCCGAACATCAAAAGGTAAGGTGTTTGACCAGTACTTTCGTGACGGGTGCAATTATATGCATGTACCAGTGGATTTACATATGCTTTCCAGTTGGCTTTCTTACTTGGATCTAAGGAACCTAACATGTTGAGCAAAGTACGATTAAAACGCTCACACATGCCATTACCCATTGCATGGTAGCTGGTAGTTCTGGATTTCTCCATACCCATGATTTTACAAAGTTCCTGAATCACTCGGCTCTCAAAATTTGCGCCTTGATCTGAGTGGATTCTTTCTGGGATGCCATAATGAACAATAAAGTGATTATAGAACATCTCGGCTGTTGTCTTGGCTAATTGATTTCTTGTAGGGATGGCCATGGCAAATCTGGTGAAATGGTCTGTGATAACCAGAATGTGTTTATAGCCTCCCTTGCATGGCTCCAAAGTGAGAAAATCCATACAAACTAACTCTAATGGAGAAGTGGTTGTTATGTTTACCAAAGGTGCACGTTGATTGGTAGGGGTCTTTCTTCTGGTACATCTACCACATTCTTCAATCCAGGTTTCTATGTCTTTATGCATCCCTGGCCAGTAAAATCTGTCGCGAATTAAGGATAATGTCCTGTCCTTGCCAGGATGACCCATGTCGTCATGAAGAGCTTCTAACACTGCAGACGCATGTTGAATGGGTAACACAAGTTGATGTCTGGTTTCCTCATCCATACATGTCACACGATGAAGTACTCCATTTATGAGTTTCAGGTGGTTAAACTGTTTGTATAAAGCATTGGATCCTATCTCTCTCCTTAATGGTTTCTGTTTACTTCTAACATACTCAATGACACGGTGTATATCTGGATCTAAGGATTGTGCTTTAGCCCAGTCTATGATGTTACCAGTGCTGGTACCTCTTGGATCCATATCGTCATGTATGACATCAGGTGAAAGAGTCAAAGATTCTACATATGATGAAACAGCAGAATTGCAGATAGCTTGGACTGTCTCAATGCTCATAGGAATTCGGCTTAAAGCATCTGCATCAGCATTACTCTTTCCAGGTCTGTACTTAATGTCGAAGTTAAATGCTGCTAAAGCTGCCAACCATCTGTGACCAGTTGAGTCGAGTTTTGCTGTTGTTAATACATAAGTAACCGGGTTGTTGTCGGTAAAAACTGTAAACTGTTGTCCGTATAAATAGTCTTTAAATTTATCGCAGATGGCCCATTTAAGTGCTAAAAATTCTCTTTTGTGTGGTGGATAATTCTTTTCTGCTTTGTTTAAACCTCTGCTGGCATAGCTAATAACACGTTTAAGTCCATTTTGATGTTGATATAGTACAGCTCCTAAAGCATCACCTGAAGCATCAGTGTGTAATTCATAAGGGAGAGAACTGTTGGCATAACCCAGAATAGGTGCAGATGTCAGATGTTTCTTGAGTGTTTCAAATGCTTGGTCTTGCACTGTTCCCCATTTCCACTCTTTCAATTTCTTATTCTTTTCTGTTTTCTTCTTCAGTGGTGTTGGCATGAGGTCTGTTAAGGGTCTGCTTATACGGCTGAAGTTTTCAATAAATCGCCTATAGTAGCCGACAAAACCAAGAAATTTGCGAACTTCTTCAGGACTGTTGGGTTTTGGCCAATTAATAACTCGTTCTGTCTTATCTGGATCCATTTCGACACCTTGTTCTGATACGACATGACCAATAAACTTCACTTTCCTCTTAAAGAATTCACATTTTCCAGGGGATATCTTCAGATTTGCCTCTCTAATGCGGTTAAATACTAATTCGATGTTGTGAAGGTGTTCCTCAAAAGTTTTTCCAAAAATAATGATATCATCTATGAAAACACAGCATATATTCAAGTTGTAATCTGCTAGTAGATTTTCCATTAGTCTTTGGTAGGTTGCTGGTGAGTTGGTTAAACCGAAAGGCATACGGTTATATTCAAAGAATCCTAAGGGTCCAACCGAGAATGCGGTGCGTTCTTTGTGTTCTTCATAAATCTCCACCTGGTGGTAACCGGATTTCATGTCAATATGTGAAAAGAATTTGTTTCCAGATAAACAATCAAGTAGTTCTTCAATCCTTGGAAGGGCATAACTGTCTTTCTTGGTTAATTTATTCAATTGTCGGTAGTCGACGCACATCCTGAGAGTACCGTTCTTTTTTCTCACTAACACTAGATTAGACGCATAAGGTGAATGAGATGGTCTAATGATGCCAATGTCCAATAACTGTCTTAAATGTGACCTCACTTCATCATACATAGAAGATGGTATCCTTCGATATCTTTGTTTAAATGGTACATCATCTATAAGATCTATCCTGTGTTTTATCAAATCTGTATGTCCGACATCATGATCTCCCTTGCTGAATATGTCTGAATAAGTCAAAAGGAGATCTTTTCCACTCTGTAACTGTTCTTTGGTCAAATCACTTTCTGTAATATCAACTTTGTCTAATAGTTGTGTTGTCTCTGTTTTCCATGGTATAGGATTGTTTTCAACAATAACAGGTTGTACTTCACAAATGATTCTTTTAGGTGGAATGGCTATAATTCTTGTTGTAACGTTGGACAATGTAACAGAAATTATCCCATTTTTCCTAAAATGGTATGGTCTGTAAGTATTTGTAACATCAATGTCTTTGTAGTGAGGTGCTAAGATAGACGACTGTAAAATTGATGATGTTTTCTGGTATGGAATTTCTTTGTCGTAATATCCATCAACCTCAACAACACTGTTCGGTGGAATAATAATTCTGTTCACAGTTCTTACTACTGCAAGTCTATTGTCATTCTTCTTCAGTTCTTTTTCTCTTAAGGATAAACATCTGAAGCTTATATACCAGGGCGTAGTAAGAGAAACAGTCTGTAAATATCTCACTCCATGTTCTTGCTTTAGTTGGTGCATCATGGATTCTAATATGTTGGTTCCAATCAAAACAGGTATATGTTGACTGTAATTGCTGTCAGGTACCACAAGCATTACATGTTGTGTTGTTTCACAGCTGTTTTTCGGCATATTAATGTTCACTTCAACATAGCCTTTATACGGTAACTGAGTACCTCCTGCACATTCGATCTGTAGGATATCATCTAAAGTTTTCATCTCAATACTCTGTGAAAGTTCTTTATTATAAAATGATTCACTTATGGTTGAAACAGTTGATCCTGTATCTAGCAGAGCTGGTACATTTTTTCCATTCAAAATAATTTCTGTTTCTGTTGGACTTCCAAATATCCCTGGTGGTATAGGTGTTTTTATGAGATTGTTTGTTACTATGGGACCATGAGATATCCTTTTGTTCCAGCCTAATACCGGCCCCTCTGTATAGGCTTCCTGGAGTTTAAATTGAACCGTGAATGGTCTAGTCTCACACGACATCCTATGGCTATGTGACCAGGTTGTTTGCATCGATGACAGATTATTTCTCCTTTGTTTACGTCATTGGATGTTGCTCGTTGTTGTTGTAATAAGTTGTTGTCAGCAGGTGATGGATACATATTCTTCTGTTGACGTTGTCCGTTGTTCCATTCTCTAAATCTTCCTCTGTTGTTCCTGTATCCTCCTCTATACACTTGAGGAAATTGAGGTTGTTGACTTGCAGATATTTTGTGAGATAGTTGTTGAACCATTCCCTTGAGTTCTTCCATGTCTGATGAGATATTGGCTGACTTCACAATGTTTGGCTTAGATGATTTCTTTGGAATGTGGTCTTTTTCTATTTGCCGTAAAGCAATTCTAAGCTTGTTGTAGTCTTTGATAGTGTCATATTTATAACCGCTAATGTCCTTTAATTCTTGTCGGAGTCCAGTCCACAACATGGAATGTAACATAGAGTTCATGTCTGTGTGTTTTATGATTCCCTTTTCAAGACCTTTTCCTAATATGTCCTCGAGTCGGGCACTCCATGCTGTAATATCTTCTTCTTCCTTCTGTCTAGCACCATAAAAATCAGCTAACAATTGTTCTTTACTTTGTACACCACCATACACACTATCCAGAGTCTGAAGAATATTTTCTATTGGTTTTTCCAATCCTTGATATATAATCATTCTTGCTGCAGATCCAGTCAGGGATCTCCTGATTGCGAAGTCTTTTTGTTCTTTACTGTATGTTGGATCTTTTAGTGTCATGTTAACTTCATATCTCCATACATCGTATGAAACTTCGGATTTGTTGTCTCCTCCAGAAAAAGATCTAATTTTAGGGGGATATGGAGATAATGTAACTGTTTTCTTTGGTATTGTTCCAGTGTCCGGTAGAGTAAGTGGTTGGAGTTGTTGGATAGGCTTCGTGTCCTTCGACTTGATGTAACTTTGAATCCAATTGTCCAGTTCCTCTGGTGTATCACCTTTTGGATTTAATCCCATGGCTTTGAATGTTTGAAACATTTTTTCATATTCACCTTTTAGAGGTGTAGTAGTTGTAAGAGGTGCTGTAGTTGTCATAGGACTAGTTGGTTGTTTAGTGATTGCTGTTTCACCAGTTGCCATGATAACATTTCACTATTTTCATTCACAAAATTTCACAACAAATCACAATTACTAGAAAT